GTCTCCTCAGCGCTCGCAAATAGTTTTGTTCATTAACAAGATAAAAGACGCGAAATAGGTGAGGTCTTGTTATATTCCAGCTCCTTGTGACCTGCGGCAACGTATTGAAAACTTTCCTTAACGATTCTTGTATGGCAAAGTATTTTAAACATAGCTAAGCTGCAGTGAGGAGCACTGAGCGGTGGTTTGAACGGCCGGTTCGCGCCGTCTGGGCGGCGACTTCCGGGGCTCGCGCATAGGCCGCGCTCTCAGCACTGCGTTGCGACCCCCTGACGTTTTGAATGTCAGAAGCAACCGATTCAAAGCAAGTGCACATGTAGTTGACATGAGATGAAGGAAAAATCGCGAGCGGTAGTGCTTACCGTGTAGCACACGTTGTACGGTAGGATCAGGTGACCTTATTGATGCCCTATCTGACGGCTGACTGCGTAGGTGCCTAACAAAATCGAGCTGAGACTGAGTGAGAGAGCACCTCCGCGACGGTTTAGCGGAGGTAGAAGGGGGGGGGGGAGGGGTGACCAGTGTGCCGCCTTGGTTTCTCATACAGACGAGATTTTGCGAGCCAAGGGGGGGGGGGGGGGTAAAGCACGACAGCAGCGCGCCGCGCGCACCTTACGCGCACCGCACTGCCGGCGCCCCTTGGGCGTCGTGGGTAGGCAGCCCACTAGCACGCACGCACAAGTGGTTGCCTGCTACGCAGGCGCGCTGACGCTGAGCACTTTCTCGATAAAATGATTATACAATTTGATACATCAGATACTAAAAATTATAAAGGCTGCAAGATATGGAAGGGTCTAACACGCCGTTTTCGCGGGCGAATGTCGGATTGTCTTCGGACTGTCCGGTAGCACCGGACTTATTGCGGACTGTCCGGTAGCATCGGACTTATAACGGACCGTCCGCGATCGGACTCGGATTGATGACGGACTGTCCTGGAACATATTTTAGAAGTGTCCGAGGCGACCGGACTGCTTTCGGAACAGTCCAGGATGAGTTTCGGAATGATTTCGTTTCATAAGGGCGTTCTCGAGTTATCGAGCGTACAGACAGACAGACAGACACGAAACTTTTCGATCATCACTGGAGTAATAGGCTTCGCTATCGCTCAGCCAACAACTAGCTATATGTACGCCAGACCACGTCTCGCGTAACAGGCTTCGCGATATCTCACGAAACACTGTTACGCTGCGACGCGCCTGGCGCACATATAGCTAGGCCTGCGGCGCTGACACCCGAGACAAGTTAATAGGAGTGTATGTACAATTTCTCGATTTTAATAGGGTGTTCCAGGCTATCTAAAACGGAAGTGAAAAAGAACAAACTCACTGATTGATCTGTTTCCGTCCGCCGAGTATGAGAAACTACCATGGTAGTTGGGTCCGATCCTAACCTCTCAAATATGGAGGGGAGCTCGAAACTGATCTGACAGTTTCTCATACCTGAAAGGCCGCGGAGGCACGTGATTAGCTCGACCACTCAGAGCCATTACGGAAACAGCAGGGTCAGTGAGTTTGTTCTTTTCCTACTTCCGGTTTAGATTGCCTGGAACACCCTATTCCTTTATTAAAAAATTTAATAGACCATTTGGCCACTTTCACCTCATTTTCGCCAAGAAATGCCCCCTAGCACCCAAACGTTACAAGATAGAGCAAAACGGACGAAATTTTTGTCCAGAGAGTCCTATTTTGACGAGTTACCCCTTAGGAACCCATAAAAAAATATTTGGGAAAAAATAATTTTGCGGCTTGTGGTTTTTGATTTTTTTAAAAGTCAATTTTTGTGCTAGAATGCTCATCTTCGAACTCGATCTGTCTTCTTATGAAACAAAACGACCCTGAAATTCCCAGATCGATATCTCAATTCTTTCTCGAGTTATCGTGCGTACAGACGGACAAACAGACAAACAAACGG